GGGCTACAAAGGCAAGAAGTGACTGGCTTACAAGCTTTCAAGAGGGAACCTAGATCCAGAGGGCACAGAAGAAGGTAGATTCTCCACTGAGTAGTATCCAATCTGTCTAGGCGGGACTGATTAAAGGAAATGCGAATAGGTCTCTTGTGATACAAGGGTGAATAATTATTACCAGGACTGATTGTGAAGGCTGTAAATGTAAAAGTAGACATTTTGTGGCAAAGAGGGGAGTGATTAACTTTGCAGGCTAGGAGCGGAGGTCCCTGGAACCATGAAGGGAGAAGAGCGGAGAGCAGAACCCTACCCAGAAAGGCAGCGATCCCCAAGATGTAGGCAGAGATGATGATGTGGAGAAATGGAGCAGCTGGGGACTCAGGATCCAGGGAGGAAGAGGGGCTGTGTACTGATGACCAAGGGGAGGGGGGTGCGGGGAAGCAGGCTTATAGGATGTACCCTTTCGTTGATTGGTGATGCATGGAGGGGATTGTAACCATGGCAATGAAACAATATACGATTGGATGAATGTAAAACTGATGTTCTCCCATGTAAACTGTCACATAATTCACAATAAAACTTTAAAAAAAAGAACAAAACTAAGGCTTAGAACCCAGGTATCTTGACTTGACTTTGCAGTATCCTTTTTACTATGCTACCTCATCTTTTACTTTCATTTGTATCTCTTCTGAATGCCTTGTAAAGTGCTACATATACATACAAATCTCTCAATCAATGTCAACAAAAGAAGCATAAGTTTGCATAACTGAAAAATTGACTTTAGTCAGAAATCAGAAAGGTAATTTTCTTACTTTTTTGCATGATGCCACCCTCCAGACCAGTTAATTGCTACTTTGCACTTTCCATCAATCAGACATTGGGCAGCTGTAATTGTAGCCCCTCCTACAGCTGCTGCATAGTCAAATATCCCTTCAGTGGCTGGGCAGTCATAACCTTAGGGCAAAAATCAGAAAACTTTGTTTAAAAGTTTGTTAAAGAGAAAGAGGAGGAATAGACTGATATGTGGCAACTTACCAAAAAGTTACTTTGCTAACATCAGTTACAAATGAGATACAAACATGTCACAATATTGGAAAAAGGATTTTTAAAATAGAAGAGGCTGAAAGGAAAAACCTTAAAGATTAGCCACAATCAACAGATGGAGAAATGGAGGCATGAGAGGAGATTGTCTATGGTTACACAGAGCCAGGTCTGGAACCCAAGTCTCTTGACTCCCAGCCCAGTGGTTTGTTTCTACTAAACCATGGTATTGGCCATTTATAGTTTTTAAAATGTAGCTGCTTAATGAGGGATGGTGGTTGCTGGTGGTTGTGTGTCACCGAATCAGTCCTGACTCATAGTGACCCTGTATATGTTTTCCAAGGATGTATATCTTTACAGAAGCAGAAACCCTCATCTTTCTCCCACGGAGCCACTGGTAGATTCAAACTCCTGACCTTGCGGTTAACAGTCCAGCTCAGAATCCACTCCTCTACCAGTTAATGAGGAGTCCTGTGTGGTACCATAGGATAAGCACTCAAATTCAAGGTTGATTTGAACCACAAAGTCAGTCGTTCAAACTATACAGGATCCTATACAGGATTGCCGCTATGAGTCACAACGAACCTGATGGCACAGAACAACAACTACCAGTTAATGAAGGATGAGACAGAAAATACAGCCAGAATAGAAGCCTGTATTCAAGTTAACAGATATGGTCATAGACTAGACAAAGTAGTGTATATACAACCAGAACAGATATGGTGTGGTGCTGTAGGATAAAGCACTGGACAGCAAGGTCGGTTTGAACCACAAGGTGGCGGTTCAAATTCACTAGCCACTCCTTGGAAATCCTATATAGGGTCGTTAAGAGTAGGAAATGACTGGATGGCACCTAACAACAACAACATTAGGGCCTAAACCCATCTGTTCCATCATTCAAGTTTGCTCAATTCAAATGGTTTGCGTGATAAATGAGTTACGTGACTAAGCAAAGAGATTGCAATTAATGGTTAACACATTATTTAATTAAAAATTTATTAAAAACCAGTTGCAATATACAAATAGAAGTTATCTATCTCACGTCATTGCCTGGTTACAACTTTACCTAGCCCATATTCTATAGAGTCTGGATGATCATCATCTCCTTCCTGGCTGACCTTCTGGAGATGTTGCAGATAGGCATCAGTATGGAAGGTGGCCATCTCTTCCATGGAGGCCACTTTGGGTTTAATAATCCTAACAATAACAGTGAGAGAACAAAGAGAAGTAAGTGAGTCAGACCCAGAGTATGCCAGAGCTATGTATGAATCAGCATTCTGAACAGAAAATACAACTTCCCGCTTCTGATTTCAGTAGGCTAAAGTAGGACACACATTCTGTTCCTCTAGATATTCTGTTCTCCCGCTGCACCATATATTCTTATTTGCTCATATCTTGGTAATGATTCCATCATTAAGGGGGTAGATTTTCCCTTTGAGTTAACAGTTAGGTAAAAACAAATGAAAAATTATATGTAAGATAAATACACAATCAGATATCAGACAAACACTATTATTCTGTGAGTTACAGCTTTCATAACCAAGCAGTAGGCAGGGGTATTTTCATTTGAATTGGTTCCTAATTGGGGTGTTATAATCCTTTTAGATAATTTTTAGTTTGAAGTCAGAAAACTGGGTTCCTGTCCTGACGCTATACTTAACTAGCTCTACAGCCTCAAATAAGTTATCTGACCATTCTGCAGCATCTGTAAAATGGGAATACCTTATAGGACATATGTGGAGATTAAAACATAACATACGAAAATGCTTTGTGGATTACTATCATTATTATTTGTACTAAAGGATAAAAATTAGGCAACCCAAAATATAAAAGGTCCTTTACTTGGTCCCTCTCATCTGCTTCTGAAGAAAGGAAAGACAGGGCTGAAAGACTGGAACCAGACTTCACTCCGAACCTCTTAACCTCACAAGAAGCAATAATAGGAGTAAGAGAATTAATCAAACAAGATTTATAACTTCTTTCCTATAGCTGCTTGTTCCACATTTCTCTTCCTGACCCCACCACTGTCATTACTATTCTCCAGCCCTTGCCACTTAAAAGTGTGATCTGTGGACGAGCAGCATCAGCATCACCTGGGAGACTGCTAGACCTAGAGAACCTCAGTCTCACCTCAGACCTACTGAATTGGAATTTGTATTTTCACAAGATGATTTTTTAGCAAGATAAAGGTAATTCAACAAGTTGGAGAGAAGAACTGACCTAAGCCATTGGGAGGTGGTAGTGGATTTTTATGTTTGCTGTATGGGAGCACTACCATTTGTTTATCGTGAATTAATATGACTATACAGGCTACTTGTGACATAGTATATTATGTACTAGACTGTTAACAACAGGGTCAGAAGTTGAAATCCACCAGTCGCTCCATAAAAGAAAAACGAGGCTTTCTGCTTAAAGATTTACAGCCTCAGAAACCCTATACAGGGTCATTATATGTTATAACTGACCCAACATCACATAACAACAAGCAACTATTAAGGAGCCTTGGTGGTGCAGTGGTTACAGCACTTAGGTGATAATCAAAAGGTCAGCAGTTCAAGCCTACCGGCTGCTCCACAAGAGAAAGATAAGGCAGTTCTACTCTGTCTTACATGGGTCCACTGGAAAGCAGTGGGTAGTGTTGTTGTATACAGACTACTACTATCACCAAGAAGGCCAGAAGAAATATAGTTCAACCTCAAAAGTTAAGCAAGCATATAGCCAAGATCCAAAGATTAATACTTCTTCAAGAAAACATGCCTATATTATCAGAGGTGAAAGTCTGCCCATTAAAATAAAAATTTTAGTTTCTTGGACCATGTTCCTAGTCCTAATAGAACTTTTCCACTTACTTAACAAATATTTACTGAATATCTCCACACTTAACAGCAAGGAAATTGGACAGCTTTGCTTTGCTTTCTTGTTTTCTGTAATTATTTTTGAAATGTTAACTAACTTTAATGGGTGGCATGTAATTTTCATGTTTGCCAAATATGAGGGAAAACAATGGCTGAAAGACTGTCCTAAAAAAGGTATTCATTTAATTACTTTACTAGAAATAAGATTAAAATCTGAAAGCCTATGGAACAAATGTTTACCTGTTTTGCCAGAAAATTTCATAAGTAATCCTGCAAGTAACTGAGTTATAATATTTGCTGTAACAATGACATCAAATATAGAAATGATAGCACACAGAAAGTTGTTTTTGTTTTGTTTTAAAAAGAAGCATTTATCTCTCTGTTCATTTCTGGCCTGGTGTCAGGAGTTGGATGCTTTGACTTTGACCTATTTCTGGGGCTCCATCATGAAAAGTTTGGTTGGGGCTCCATCATGAAAAGTCTTATTGAGCCCGCACTTCTATGTCTGGAGATAAAAGAAAATAGCCTCAGTTGTAGCTTAGAAATAATAATAATTTTCTAAAAACAAAACAATAACAAACACAGAACACCACTTTGCTCCCAGTTAAACACCTTTTTTCCCTGACAGGTTTCCTACTCCAAATCTCCACAATGTCCTATCATATCCCTAGGATATTTCCCTTCTCAGCAATAAAGTCCTATTTCTAAGGGATCTTAACTGCTTTACGTACATTTTTCAAGTTTTCTTAATTCCTCAACCGCTTTCATGGAGTCACAGGCAGATTACAATAACTTAGAGAAAAAGTAAAACACCATTCTTTCACTGTCAAAAAGGATAAGTCTATGAATACTTAACTTCACAACTGTGTTCAGTAAAATAAATAAAGCTTACCTCATTTGCTTATGCAGTGCGTATGCTTCAATCAGAGAATGTACCATACTGGCCTAAAAATATATATCAGCAAGAAAAAACAAAACAGGTATAGGCTGTGCTTAGTGTCTCTTAAAAGTTTAATTCAGCAAATCATTGATCTCATCCTCTTGAACCAAAGGAACTAACTTTGTTTTAGCTCTCCTTTCTTCTGTTTAGGTAACAAATATGCACACGTTATACAATATAAAAAAAGCAACCGAGTCTTAATTAAGTGGTGAAACACTTTTCTCCTGAAGCTTCTTTCCCACGATTTCAAAGATTCCCTCGTAGATGATATTTCCACTTCCACCTGTCGCTGATGAACGCTGAGTTCTCTCATAAACTGTAAAATAACACTTCCTCTATCACCTGATAACAGCTATCCTGAATATATCTGAAGATACCCCCAGCCCAAGTATCCTCTTGGCTTCCTAATGTCATCCTGTCCACCTCCACTCCTGCCATTCCCCTACCCCGAAAAGCCCAGTCTTTCTTCCGGACCTCTCTTACCCGTTTGGGGACTTTGACCATGGAGTCACACATGTTAACATACTCGGGACTATAGATGTAAACCGGGGGTAGTGACTGCCCTCGGTCCGCCGGTTCCTCCAATTCCTCCATCTTCCACTTCCAACCGATCCCGGCTAGCCCGTCCGGATCCAGCCCTTTTCGGACTCCGTTCAGACTCAAGTTCCTGCTCCCGTGATCGGCCTCAGGTGTTCTCTGCTCAACATTCCCTCCTATTCTTGAGATCGCCGGAAACCCTGTCTCTGCTCCCCATCTAATTAAGCAAATGGATGGAGTTTCCCAGGCCTAAACCTTCCATTTAGTGGCCACAGTTCAAAAAGAGAGGTTGTAAAATATATTAAAAAACAAAAACAAGTAACTGCCAATTAGGATCGCAATTTATGGCATAAATCAGTAAGGTCAAAACTAACCACGCTTGTTGCCCTACGGAGCCATTTGAGATGAAGTCAGACCGACTCCAGAGCATGCTGGGAGCTGTAGTTTTCAGGAGTTTGCGCAACGGAAGAGTCGGGACTAATCGTGAAAATAACCGCCAATTTCAATTTGAGAGCTAAAAAAACTCAGCTTCAACTCTATAAATTCCATGAAAATACACCAATTTCAATATGAAACAATGTAGCTGTATTGAGAGCCCACTACCACCTAAATACATAATCAGCTGCATCTTCCAATAGCGGCTATTTTAGGGGGGAGGTGGGGCGGTGTGAGGAGCTAATTAACGAATAAAAAGTAGCTTTAGTAGCGCAGTGGAGTCCTGGTGTGGCGCTGTGGGTTAATGCGCTAGACTGCAAAGTCGGTTTGAACTGCAAGGTCGGTGGTTCAAGCTCACCAGCTCCTCGAAAACCCTAAACAGATTTTCTATGGGTCGCAGCCAACTCAATGGCACACAACAACAGTAGCGCAGTGGTTTAGTGTTCTGCTGCTACCCAAAGGTCTATTGTTTGAACCCATCACCTTCCATAAAGATTGTTGTATGCTATAGAGTCCGTTCTGACTCATAGCGACACTGTGTAGGGTTTCCAAGAGTGACTGGTGGGTTTGAACTGTCAACCTTACGGTTACAAGTCCAATGGTTATCTTACAGCGCCTTGGAAACCCTTTGGGGCAGTTCTACTCAGTTCAATAGAATCGTTATGAGTGTGGTTTGTTGATTTTTTTTTTTTTTTTTTTTTGTTTAATTAATGATACAAAAGATGTAAAAGTTTACACAGATAATACTTGAATTCACTTTAGTTAATTAACTTTAACTGACCTAACATCCCTTTCAGACAATCCAGTGTACTTACCTTTTTTAAACTCTAACTTATGTCCTACACTTTAAACATTTACTGAACATTCATGCACTAAGTATTGTGCTAGGTAGGCATTGTGGATGTACAAGTGTGGGTCAAAAAATTATCCGCACTCCAGTTATATTACAACACCCATCCACATCCATTGTTGTTGTTGTCAGGTGCCATCGAGTCGGAACCGACTCATAGCGACTCCATGCACAGCAGAACGAAACAATGCTCGATCCTGGGCCAACCTCACCAACGCTGCCACCCCCGAGTCCATCAATGATGCCACCTGGCCGATCCATCTCGTTGGAGGTCTTCCTCTTTTTCTCTGACCCTCCACCCTACCCAGCATGACATCCTTCTCCAACGATTGTTTCCTCCGGACTACATGTCCAAAGTAGGAGAGACGAAGCTTAGCCATCCTGGCCTCCAAGGAGCACTCTGGCTGCACTTCTTCCAAAACAGATCTATTGGTTCTTTTGGCAGTCCATGGCACCCTCAGTATTCTCCTCCAACACCACAACTCAAAGGCATCAATTCTTCTACGATCCTCTTTATTCACTGTCCAGCTTTCGCATCCATATGAGGCTATTGAAAACACAATGGCCTGGGTCAGGCGCACCCTAGTCCTCAAGCTGACATCTCTGCTCTTCAATACTTTAAAAAGTTCCTGTGCAGCAGATTTGCCCAGTGCAATACGTCGTCTGATCTCTTGACTGCTACTTCCGCGAGTGTTGATAGTTGATCCAAGAAGAATGAAGTCCTTGACAACTTCAATCCTTTCTCCATTGATAAGAATGTTGTTTATTGGTCCAGTGGTGAGGATTTTTGTTTTCTTGACATTGAGATGCAATCCATATCGAAGGCTGTGCTCTTTAATCTTCATAAGTAAATATTTCAAGTCCTCTTCACTTTCAGCGATCAAGGTTGTATCATCTGCATATCGCAGGTTGTTAATGAGTCTTCCTCCAATCCTGATGCCACGTTTTTCTTCATAGAACCCAGCTTCTCGTATTATTTGCTCAGCATACAGGTTGAACAAGTATGGTGAAAGAATACAACCCTGTCTCACACCTTTCCCAATTTTAAAACTTTCAGTGTTCCCATGTTCTGTTCGAACAACTGCTTCTTGGTCTAGGTACAGATTTCCATGGCTGATGACAATATTGAGTGTACATGTGAAATGATTCTGTCAAATAGACAAGTGACAGTGGATTATGTGGCAAATTATTTGCAAATCAGCCATGGCTCTGCCTATGGAATAATTCACAGCAGACTTGGGTTTTCAAAAGCTTGTGTAAGATGCGTTTCAAAACATTGTCATAGAAGAGCATAAACAGAAGCGTTTGGACATCTGCAAACAAAAGTTGGATGAAATTCGAAGGAAGGTAAAAAACAAAATCTTTTTAAAAAGTGTTACTCATGGCAAGACATGCATTCATCACTACGTGCCTGAGAGTAAGTGGCAGAGTACGGAATGTAAACAACCTCAATTCCCGACAAAGAAAAAGTTTGAAAGTCAACCATCAGCTGGAAAATTGATGATTACAGTTTTCTAGGATTCTCTGGTGTACTGGAACACTATCAGGGAAAAGGTTCAACAATCAACAAATGCTCACTAAAGAGCTGAAGCCTAAATTTCAGATTTAAAAGGCAGAGCATTGCTATCCAAGGGCATTGTGATCTTGCACAACAATGTACGACCTCACTGCTCTGCTCACATTGATGACATTCTGTAAAAACTTCATTCTGAGGTGTTAAAGTATCCTCCCTATAGTCCTGATCTTACTCCATTGAACTTTCACCTCTTCGGTCCCCTGAAAGCAGCCCTTCGAGTATGAAGATTCACCTTTGATGAAGAAGTGAAGACAGCAGTGCATTTGCAGCTCAGCATAAAGCATTTCTTTCTTTCTTTTTTTTTTTTTTATTGTGAATTATGTGATAGTTTACATGGGAGAACATTAGTTTTACATTCATCCTATCGTATATTGTTTCATTGCCATGGTTACAATACCCTCCATGCATCATCAACCAACCACAGGGTATACCCTGCAAGCCTGCCCCCTGTCATCAGCACACAACCCTTCTCTCTCTCTGGGTCTAGAATCCCCAGCCACTCCATCTCTCCATGTCATCTGCCTCCATCTCTGGCATCACTGTTTCTCCCTTGATGGTCCCAGTGACCTCTGCTCCTAGACTGAAAAGTCAACCACTCCCCTCCTTTTGCTACAAAACATCTACCTTTACATTTCCAACCCTCATAGTCAATCCTGACAACAATTATTCACTATTGTATGACAAGAGACCTATCCACATCTCTTTTCATCAGCCCCACCCAGATAGATTGGGTACTACTCAGTGGAGATCTACCTTCCTCTGTGACCTCTGGATCTAGGTTCCGTCTTGAAAACTTGTAAGCCAGTCACTTCTTGCCTTTATAGACCCTCCTCCCCCCATTTTGGGTAGCCAATGTCCAAGTTGCCCATCCCTGTCTACACTATGTATGGAGGGGGTGGGAATGATCCTTGCTGTAAAGATTTGTTCCCTCTTTTGAGGTACTGCATCCATAGGTGTAGGTCAAGCTCATCAAATTGTTTCAGATTACTCTTTTTTGTTTCCTCTTCTTTCTTCTTCTAGGAGAGCTCTGATCATCCAGTCATTGAATCCAGATCAACTAGGTATTATTTACAAGTATGGGTGTTCTTATGCATATGCCCTCTCTTCTCATCAGCTGGACGCTTCACTCTCCACACTAGTCCTCTGTGGATATGTCACTGACTCTGGGCTCAGGAGTCCCAGGTCTTGCCACACTGCTGGCCAACCAGGTCTCCACCCTGATTCACAAGAGTCTATTGAACATTGTAAGGTTTAGCTCACAGCTTCATTGTTGTTTTTCCCTCACTTGCCTTTATCCTTGACTAACATGGTCACCAATCAGAGTGCATATCTGCTCGTGTATTCCCATTGAGTTTTAGTCATGGAAGGAGGTTTGCCCTGAGGGGACCCGACCACTTGCCTTGATGTCTCCTGGGCATTCAACTTGCTTGTTCTTATAGTAATCATTTGGACTGCCATTATTGTTTTGCATTTTTCCTGTTGGTCTTTCTTTCAAGAAGTATCTTCTGTTCTTCCAGCCACTGCAGGCTAGTCTGCTTGTCTTTTCCAGTGGAAATTTCCCACCTCAGAAGATTCTGGATGGGGTTCAGGATTCCAGCTATGGTCTTATGTAATGCTGAGGCTCCGCAGGAAGCCTCCTTACTGGGCATGTTGTAGCCCCATTTTAGGTATTCCAATCACTTATAGGCAGAAGACAAAGACTTAACAAGCTTTCTATGGTGATATTCCTGGCTATTCTTTTCTTTCCCCTCAAGTGTCTATTTTATAATGGTATGCCAGGGAAAACAAGATTCAAAAGACAGCCAAACATCATAACATTATTTCCCTTCTTTTGCCCATTCCAGCCATTTCTCAATCTCTGTATCCCAGAACCCTGTTATTCCAAGTATATGCATACATCATTATTTACCTCTGTCCCACTTAGCCCATGCAAAACTACCGACTTGTTTTCCCTTCCACCTTGTTACCTTGTTCTTCCATTCCCGTCCTCATTCTTGTGAATTGCCCCCCACCCCCAGCAGCCAAACTATCCTGTGTCTATTGCCTATCCTGTGCTCCACCTTCCCCTCCCTCCCTTCACACCACCTCCTACATCCCCTTTAGTATGGGTTATTTTTCTTAGTCTTTTATAGCAGTGGTCCTATACAGTATTTCTCCTTTTGTGATTGACTAATTTCCCTCAACATAATGTCCTCAAGTTTCATCATTGTTATGCAGTGGGTTGCAGCTTCCTTGTTATTCTTCAAGGTAGCATAATATTACATTATGTGTATGTA